AACTTACATTTTTCAAGTTTTACCGATTGAAAAAATCTCAATAAATTGTTACTTCCTCAAATCTTTGGTTGGAATCAGTAAATATCATTCATTACAAAAGAAATGTATTTCATAAACAAGTGGTGGTAAAATTGACTAAACGTACGAGTTTAGAAATTATAGTATATCCCTGTCAGACTCAAGATACAAAAAAATGTACACATGATGTATATTATAACAGATGAATTTTAAATATAAAGTTCCAAATTACCGTTCGCTCGTACACTGCTCAGCAGGCGGTGCGTGAACCTGCATTACGTGTAATCAGAGTTTTTAAACCCGACAGGAAATCGCTTGAATACCTGGAAGTGTCACCTCACAGTACCCCTGGCAATAATTCTTTTAGCCATGCTGATGGTCAAGTTAGGGAATTAAATAAAGGTATTATATAAAGGCTTGGACATAAAAAGATTTTATATTGTATAATAGTCCCAGATAAAAAAGTTATGAACAAATTAGATTATTGGAAACAATTTTACACGGAACACCGCTAGTTAATTATTGCTTTAAACCATGAGAGAATCCATAAAAGAAATTGCTCCTATATTTACTTGTTTCATAAAGTTAGTTAGAAACATGTTTAAAAATGACAGATCATAGTTATTCAAAAAATTAGAGAATGTAGAGAATTGATATTTTGAGTTTGAAATTGATAGTGATATTTTATCTAGGAGAATAAAACGTTAATATTTATGAATTTGTGCTGTTTTATACAAAATGAACATGATATCAATTTTTCATTTTTTTTGCGGAGTTTCCCTTTAACTTTTTAGACTTTTATTGCTGTATGTTTTGGTTTTATTGTGCTATCATGATACAATATTAAAGTTCATTATTATACAACGAATGAATAATATTCTCTAAAATGGCATTGATAATTTCTCGGTATAAATGGACTGTTTTTTGCTAAATGTCCTATCTATGCGCTAAAATATTCTCCGCCGTTGATAGTGATACACTTTTTGTGAATGAATTGAATATGAATACACATCTTAGCATTATTCAGTGTAAAATAAGTTAACATCATCACACGGTATTGTTTTAACACATGAAATTCCGAGCCGGAATATGTACAGAATGTATTAACAAGGAAAATGCACAGTACAAGATTAAATGTTCTTGAAAAATTGAAATATGCATTATATAGAAATAGTCTTGCTCGTATAAACTCAGGGGCGGATCCAGCCATTTTCAAAAGAGGGGGTTCCCAACCCAGGATAAAAGGGGGATTCCAACCATATGTCCCCATTCAAATGCATTGATTGTCCAACCCCCGGACCCCCCCCCCCCCCCCCCCCCTGGATCCGCCCCTGAAACTTAACTTTTATTATACCAATTATGGAATATGCATATGTGTTTCGGGATAGTTGTACTCAACAAGGTTCTAATAATTTAGAACATGTTAAGTTGGAAGCAGGAGGAATAGTAACTGGGTTGCCCGTGTATGTCAGTCGTTAAGCTACATATTTCGAAACAGGCCGGAAATTGCTAGTAGACAGAAGAAAGTCAAGAAAGCTCAATGTGTTATATACCTTATATTCTTTATATAACGAGACTGCTCTTGATTATCTCTGCGATTTAATGCTCCCACTTATTGGTCAAATTTCAATTATGATTTACAAAATAGTAACAACTATGTAGTACCCCGCGTCATAGACTAGATATAACCAGAACATCTTTTTTCCCATCTACTACAATTGAATGGAATTCTAAACCCCGACATATGGACTTCCCGAAATATAAAAACAGCCACCCTTCTACTTTAGTTGTGGTGTTAGAAAACCTAATATCAATCATGGTTCAGAAATATGCGAAGATCTTTAAATGCAGATCTGCACCGTGTTAATATTAAACTAAATCCCGCATGCAGCTTTTGAGGATTGTATTCATAATTTTTTCGAGTGCCCATTTCACAATGAAGCAAGAGAAATATTGTTTTTGATTTTAAAAAGGTATTCTATACCAATTGACCTTCTATTGGCTGTTCACGGTGACCTTTATACATTTCAGCAAAGTAAAGCATTTTTTGCATCTGTTCAATCTCATATCAGAATTACACAAAGATTCAGAACTTCGCATACTATTAAAATTCTGAATTTCTACTTTCTCACACTTCACGCCAGTTCATATTACAACAATAATATATTGCATTTTCGTTTTTGTTTATAGTTTGTATTACATGCATTCCTATTTTGTTTTTCGTCATTATCTTATGTATTTTGTGTTTGTATTTGTATAAAGAGAGATGTGTTATAAGTTATAACTTGTGTTCAATCCCATTTGCTACTTTTGGAAATAAAATGTGTTTAAACAAAATCAAAACAAAAATAAGGTAAACGGAAATAAGTCCCACACAAAAAAAAACAACTCACGTGAAAAGTAACAAACTTGTACATTTGGTACATGAACGTGTATATATATGAAAAACAGTCACAGAAATCACTAATCCATGTCAATGTTAAGTTTTTAAAACAATACAACAGAGACTAATAATATGACTTCAATTTACTATTTTCTGTTCTTGTAATTCATCTACATAAACTGCCTAGTATACAAAATATAATACGGAAGGAATCAAATTGTTGAAATAAAGACGTCCGTAGAAATACCGCAAATGATTACCTCAATATTACGCACTAGGGCCTTAATGGGATGATATAGTTGGCACAAAGGACATGGAATATAAAAGTAGACTATGTTATTATAAATAAATAAAAAAATTCCAAATTATTTAATCATATCGTTAGTAATGACCATGATTACAGTGTTATTAAATGTTTTCTCTAATTCTTCGTCAATTTATCCCTTTCTGCACCCATTGTATAAAAAAATTTAATCAACGTGTGGTTCGTTTGATCTCAGTTCTTCATTGGTTAAAATCCGATTATGACGTCGAATTTTCTTGCTTTCCTCTGAATTTCCTATTGTGACGACATGAAAAAAGGCGACCATGCATGATGACGTCACATAGAAAGAACACATATTTTTGCAGATCATTCGAAAAGAAGGAATAAATTTGCCTGCGTATTGTTTGAAAATCATTAGAGAAACAGATTCCACCACCAAATCTCGTGTAATACGATATTTATCCACTCCCGACAGTTAAATTTTAAATATTTAAAACGCTCGGCGAGCCTCGCGTTTTAAATTTGAAAATTTAACTGTCTTGAGTGGATAAATATCGTATCACACTCGATGCAGTGGTAGAATCTATATTTATCGACACGTGCCACACTCTATTGATTGTCATCTGTGTGTAATCGATTGAAATTCATGTTCATTCAACCAGAACCCGTTAATTACGCACGTGTATACAGATTGTAAATGAATATATTATTTCAGCATGTTATAGTGTTTTTGTTTTATGGGTCTTGTATTTTGTAAAAAAAAAATCAAAATTTGTGGTATTTCTACGCACCGGAAAAAAGTTGTTATAAACATTTTTTATCTATTTTCCAATAAAGTTCAATAAAAGAAAAAATAATATTTTGTTATCACAACACACACACACAACTTAATTTAAAAACTTCCTTGTCATTGCTTCATATTTTACTGGATAATCAGAGTTTTATGGATACCCATAGGTAGACAAATTTTCCATTCGGAAAAATAAATGTTCCCATGGGAAGAAAAATTGTTCCCATGGGAAGATAATCTGTTCCCATCGGAAAAGTTAAATTCCCATGGGAACTTTTTGTATTCTTCTTTTCCCATGGGAACTTTAAAATTCCCATGGGAAAAATACTTTTTCCGATGGGAACTTTAAATTTTCCCGTGGGAACTTCTAATATTCCCATGGGAATTTTAAAATTTCCCATGGGAAAAGTACTTTTAATCAGCTGTGGTGACAACAGTGACAACAATGACATGTTGGGACATATGGGGAAATTTAATTTTTTTAATTATCTATCACTTGGCCAAAAAATATTTTTGATACCTTGTAAAACAACAAAGTCAGATTTGCCAATTCTGGAATGGCAAATTTGTCCCGCACAGTGTTTTAGCATGACAAACCAGAATATATATGATTTAGGGGTGGGGATCTCGACCATTTACAAGATATTAGAACTTTCTTAAATGGGAGGGGGTGGGGGTGACCCCTGGGGACTAACCCTGTTAGATATTAGATCTTTTTTGTAAAAATACATTTGTGGATGTATGGTGGTAGAAACGCACATCTCGTCTTTTAATTTTTCTCTGAAACTTTAAAAGATTCTGTGCAAAGGGAGGGAAAAAATTTACCAAAAAGGTGCCATATTGCCAGCTTATGGTGCTATATCAGCAGGTGCTCTATCAGCAGATGAGTGATCTAGACCTTACTGAGTATTGTTTGTCCTGAAGTTGAACATATTAAAAAAGCTGATTATTAATAGCAAGTATCAACATAATTCTTTCATAACTTTATTCAGTTATTTCAGTGAGCAAACTTCATTTATCTATGATTGATTTACAACCATTTCTACCGATTGCACTGTATTCAATAACCCAAGTTCTAGAAAATTAGCCATTCAGGAAGAAAATGTTGGCGGAAAGTAAAATTGTAGTTATGGTTCTTACATTGTGATTTTTCTTATAATAATACAGGTATGTTCATATTCCTAAGTCGCATTAGTACATTACAGGTTCAATATCCGACTGAATATAAACATAAAATTAAGCATTATACAAAATGTTATACTCTATAAAAATCAAACATTAAATATATTGTCTTTATAGCTATATATCGTAAAACCTTCAAACTATTGAATATATATTGGTGAAATAAATACATTATTTACATATGTTATATTTAAAATGAAGGTGTGAACCGTGAAATATTGTTTTGTATTTTCATTGTCATATTCAAATTCTACATATTACAGAAGGTCTGCCAAAAATGTGAAGCTACATGTAAAGTACACGTGATTATTAAATGCTCATATCTAAGTATTGTTACGCTTGATATGTTTACGTTTTTTTTTGTTAATTTGTAAACGATACCAGTAGTGACAGAGACGGTAATTATATTTTATCAATAGAAATACATTCAATGTCAATATAATTTATGAAAATGAGTAATTCAAAATCAAAAATACAATTTTAATCAATATACTAGTAGTTGTGGTAACGTTGTACTAATGTTAGCAAGGTTATACCGAATGGTATTTTTACTTTTGTTTTGTTTCGAAAAGTTTTAAATTATGCAAACTGAGGATCCAGACAGAAATATGTATGATACTATATGGATAGAATGTAGTTAATGTAAAATGACTGACCATGGGAATCATTGTAAAATAATGGAAATAGTAAGAAATCAACCGAACGTATAAACAGGTTAACGACTTTTTAACAGGTCAAGAGCCACTGTTACATTTATGAATATAAATTATTTTTAAGAAGTATATAAAACAGAATAATAAGAAATACATGTAAATACGGATTAAGCAATTATTGTCCATTGTTTAGATAATCTGTCTTTGACACGTAGATACGATGTCCATTATCGGATTAGTAGAAACATAACTTTTAACCGAAAGATAATTGTGTGGGAATATTTGAGCTAATAATGACAATTAAAAGATATAATAATTAAAGTCAGAAAGATGATAGTTCAAATAATTAACATGCTTTTCATCCGGTCATATTTGCCACTCTCGTCCAGAATCACGTCCACGGGATTTAAATTTTCATAACTAAAATCTTCTTCCACGGTATTGATAGTTACGCCTGTTTTGATGATTATTTCCTGAACATTTTTGAGTGTTGTTTCTTAATTGTTCTAGTTCATATTTGTAATTTTTGCAAATTTCCTTTAAATTAAGTTGTCTTTTTCTAACTACATTGTACATTTCTGAAACATCATTACACTGTAGTTTCCAATTTTCTTTTTCTACTTTTATCTCAGTGACATAGTCTGCTATTTTATCGTGTCCTCTCTCATATTTTTGTATGGTGTTTTCCAGTTCGATAATTTCAGCGTCTCGATTTTTAATTGTTTCACGAAGCTTCCGAACAGTTTCTTGTTCTTCTTGCAATTCCATTAATGCAGATGTATGGTTAAAACTTTCGTCTTCCAATTTCGTTTTTAAAGTTTCAATTTGGTCCCTTCGAAAACAATCACTACTGATAGTTGAAATGAAGACAGTATTCCCGGTTTTGTTAAATGGACGTTCCTGAAGTGTCCGTTTTCGATCAAAATAATCTTGAAGTCTTTTAGAATCTCTTTCCTTTTTCTTAATTGATTTCTTATGGTTACAATTTTCCGTTTGTGTCGAAATTGAAACAGTTTTAAGTTCATTCTTATGAATTTTAACTCGGCAAACACGAGTGAAGCACTGCCGAGCAAAGTGTCCTGGTTTTTGACATTTGAAGCATTTTGAATTTCTTGCGGCACACCAACTCTTGTTGTTATGTTGTTTTCCACATTTTCCACACATTCTGATCAAGTTCCTTCTTTCTGGATTAAAGCGATACGGCGAATAATTCCACATCCACTCTGGTCTTAAGGAATATCTGTAATAATCCATTGTATTTAATAATACTGTCCACATATAGTTCGTCCGAAATATAAGAATTCTGTGGTAAGCTATTCACTTGTTTGTAACTTGTCCTTGGGGGATATTTCGCTTGGCTGCTGAGGTAACGGAATCTTGTGTTGATCTATAATAGATAACACTCACGAGTCTCTAACACCATGTATAGCCAGCCTATTTGCTGGGTATTAAATGAAGATTCAAGTCGGTATAAAGTTTAACAATTTAATAAACGATCCAACAAGAATATAAACGATGTTACAATATTGAGTCCCGTGTTTACGGTTCGAGAACCTTTCCAAAACTGAATATAAATTATTTTTAAGAAGTATATAAAACAGAATAATAAAGAAATACATGTAACTACGGATTAAGCAATTATTGTCCATTGTTTAGATAATCTGTCTTTGACACGTATATACGATGTCCATTATCGGATTAGTAGAAACATATATTTTTGACAAAAGATAATTGTGTGGGAATATTTGAGCTAATAATGACAATTAAAAGATATAATAATTAAAGTCAGAAAGATGATAGTCCAAATAATTAACATACTTTTCATCCGGTCATGTTGGTGGCAAAATTTAATATAGGATTGCTTGCTTGTCTATGTAAGAAAATAGTACCTTCAGTCAAAGTTACTCTACCGTTTGATTGTTAGCCATCTTGTGTTGCTTTCTCGATGTTCATGATTCATCTCCTTTTATGTCTCACCTACACCGAGGAATCATGGTTTATAATCATATCTATTAAAGTTAGCTTAACGTCCAGTGGCAAATATTTCATGCATATTCAGGAGAACAAATGAACAAAATACAACAGGTGTGTACTGTAGTAGAGTCGTCCGGAATGAACATGATGAAGGTCGGGAAATTTTTAGTGCCAATGGAAAATTAGGATATATTTGATAGGGACAGAAATGTTGCCTTGCATCAGGCCATCTACGGACCTCGCAAAGAGTTGTTGCTAGGTTACTTAGCGTGCACGGAGCGTGACGCTTTCGTGGTTGTGGCTGCCTACTTTTACCAAAATTTTACTGATGTTCGGAAGAAGACCAAAGTGACCATATTCTTACTCCCTAATCATCCGGGGGATATGGGGGATTATTGGACGGGAAAGGTGCACGTTTGTGCGGGTGAACGGGAGTGAAGAATGGGATGAATTGTAATACAATAAAATTGAGAATGGAAAGGGGGAATGTGTCAAAGAGACAACAACCCGACCATAGAGCAGACAACAGCCGAAGGCCACCAATGGGTCCTCAATGCAGCGAGAAACGTCTGCACCCGAAGGCGTCCTTCAGCTGGCCCCTAAACAAATATGTATACTAGTTCAGTGATAATGGACGTCATACTTAACTCCAAATTATACACAGGAAACTAAAATTAAAAATGATACAAGACTAACAAAGGCCAGAGACTCCTGACTTGGGACAGGCGCAAAAATGCGGCGGGGTTAAACATGTTTTTGAGATCTCAACCCTCCTCCTATACCTCTAGCCAATGTAGAAAAAAAACAAACGCACAACAGTACGTACAGTAAACTTCAGTATAAGAGAAGTCCGAGTCCGATGTCAGAATAGGAAACAAAAGAAAATAAACAAATGACAATAATACATAAATAATAACAGACTACTAGCAGTTACTGACATGCCAGCTCCAGACTTCAATTAAACTGATTAAAAGATTATGTCTTCATCATATGAATATAGTATACACTTCCATATTGATTAAATTTACATAGTAAGTAAGTTTGATAAATTTATCACAGTACTTGGAAAAAATCAATCTGTCACTCCACTAAACCCGCACATTTTTTGTTTAATCTGGATAATTTTCTCTCGAATGTCTCTATTAATATGAAGGCTTCCAAAGGCTTTGAAAGTTTTTGTGTGCCTATACATGTAGCTAATTAATAGCGTGCTCTACATACACCGGACACTTCGATAATTGTTCAAAGTCAAAATCACTGCCATAAGCTCTTTCCAAATAGAACTTTTTTGCACCATTATAAGTTAACCTCTAGGAAAGTTTCTGAATTTGAGCTAGCACACAATTAGGTAAAGATTTCAGTGTAAAATGCCAAAATTCGAACTCTTTGATGAACATAACTTTTATGATCTAACTTAACTCTAAAGTCCCAAGAGGATCGCTCGTTTACTAAGCGATGTAAATGTCTTGTCATAATTCTACATATATTACCTAATGCGGGTGATAATGCAATGATTTTACCAATTACCCCTGCAAATTTCCTTGCAGTCATATTACAAGGATTTACAAGAACTAAAGCAATAAAATTGCAAAATATTCAACATTTTCTTTTCGAGTACTCTTAAAACAACCTATGTAGATCCCATAAAAAACCAAGCCAAACTGAACTTTTTTGGATCTAAACAAAATCTTTGTGTTCAAAAGCAGATATATTGTTATCAAAAATACAGACGGAGGTGTATTTGTAAATTATAAAGAGAATACTATATTCAAGCATAGGTAAAATTAAAAATTTTAACTATCAGCCAATACAAGTTTTCTTTCCAAAATTGTAAAATATTACATAATGTAACTTTTACATTATAAAATTACACTGACTCATTCTCATACTCGTATGTGTCTGAACACAAATCAAAGCTAATCAAAGATAATACCTCATTTGGAACTACTGGTTTTGTTAGACTTGTTGACTTTTCGGGACAGTTAGACGACCAGTGTCCTGTGGCACCACAGTAGTAGCAGATGTCTTGAGGAGATGGCCCTTTCATTGCTCTGAAGATTGCGGTGCTTGATCTTGGACCATTATATCTTGGTGTTGTTCGTGCACTATTGGTAACTTTTTGTTTCATGTTTTCAGCTAAAGCCACGAAAAAGTTTATCAGTTGCGAATTCATTTGATGTATCTTTGGGTGCGACTTTCTTTTTTTTACGTATAGCACTGGTTTCGGCTTGTCGTAGACGGTGCGTATTGTCAGAATTATCAGCAAGAGCGTTAACTACATACTCGCTGATGGTGTCCAAACCATACTTGTCATCAATCTTGACAGTTTTGTTGCAAGCAATAATATCTTGTAAGACTTTTTAAACAGTTTTAGAGCATAGTCACGATTATCTGACGAAATGGCGGCTTTCAATATTTCAATGTACTTGGAAGCTTGATCATTAAATCTGAACTGCTTTTTATTACTTACAAAGCTTACTTGCAGGTTGGTTTAAGGCTTGAACTTTTGCTTCAAAGACTGTGAAGATCTTTTTTGTTATGCCGTTGTCTAATTGCTTGGAGGGATGTTTGTAGAACTATCAACTTCACGCCTATAATGACTTCTTGTAGATGCACGTTCAGGCGAACTTATGATTTCCTCGTCAGACAGGAAGGAAAAGAAAATCAAACAGATCTTAGTAAATTTTTAAACGTCTAGACTGGTTGAATGCAAACCGTTGAATTGTTTCATATTTATCATGTCGGGGCCTTGTATAGCCTACCATACGGCATGGGTTTTTCTCAATGTTGAAGGCCGTACGGTTGCCTTTAATTGTTTACATCCATTTTTTTTTTATAAAATTCATAATGCCTCGTAATGAAAAGAAATTTATGTACTCGCAGTTACTGACAGCTAGTTCAAAACCAATAACAACTAATAAAAAAATCGTGTATCTAAGACTAAAATATCCATCATAACACATCCAATGTACTTGAAAACTAAAATCGATAGATAGAAATTTTTTAAATTGCATAAATGATCAGCAAGGCAACATCGGCAAAACGTCAAACGTCAGAATAATTAAAATTGTTAGTTATCTTCCTATTAGATTGATTGCCCTCAAATGACTTTAATCTTTTTGAGTTTGGGCAGAAACTATAGAACATAGAGAAAAATCAGTAAACTTAGACTGAAAAAACATCAGCAATACCAGATCAACAAAAAAGAAATTTAAGTCATGATTTATATTCTATAAATTTGAGAATAGAAACGGGAAATGTGTTAAAGAGACAACAACCCGACCAAAGACAATCGTGGGTCTTCAACAAAGTGAGAAGATCCCGCACCTTGAGGGAGACTTCAGCTGACCCCTTAACAGTAATATACTAGTTCAGCGAAAATGGACGTCACGCTAAACTCCAAAATATATAAATGTTGGAGAGTTTTGTAGATGTATATAGACATAGTTGAGCGACACATGTTCTTCAAAGTCTCTAGTTGTTTTGTCAATGATTTCGCCGGTCTCTTCTCGATTTATGCGGTTTAATTTTTTTTAGAGCGTTGAAAAGATTGACTTCTTCTTGGAGTACTTAAATATTTCATACAATCCATAAAGATGTGCCAAATTTCTCCAAGGGCATATACATGTTAACATGGGAGTAGACAATTCTTAATGTTAATTGTTCTGTTTACATTACATGTACATTTAGTTATTCTATATAAAGTAAATTTACGGAAAATTACCGTACTGTGTATCTTTTATTCTTTCCAGGAAACCATGAGGATAAAATTGTAATACAATGGATACTGGTATTGATAGGACCGTTTCTCATAGGACCCATTACGCTCGCCTTGGTCACGCGGCACATAATCTTTTACCTATGTTCTTACAACAGGTTCTTCTCAAATTTGAAAATCCCGAGCAAGTTTGTATCAACTGCAGTAAAAACAAATCTTTAAGTTGTCTACTTAAAACAAGGGAATGGACAAGACTAAGTAATGCTGTGCAAAATGGATACGCTGGCTTTGATATTCCTCTTATATATTCTATTTTACGGCATTTGCATGCACCTACTACTCGACCAACCAGGGGATGGGACAATCCTAGTGGACCATTGGAAAACGAAATTGAAATCGGGGATGATCTTGAAAGATGTCGCAGATTGCGTCATGAAATAATAAACAGAGGAAACACCTGTGTTTCAGATCAAGAATTTAACAATTATTATAATGAATTAAAGTCCATTGCGTGTAGATTTGAAAGGGTTTGCCAAAAAAATGAAAATGAATTTGTCTTCGAGTTGGAGCGTTTACGAACATGCTGTATGGACCAGGCTATGGAGAATGAGTACTTAAAGAATCTTGAGGATTTGCATCGAAGAGAGAAAGAAAAAAAAGAACGTATATCACAACTTGAAGATCAACTGAAAGGTATGAATCCGTATTGATAAGTTTAGATACATATCCTTAAAAAGTTACATTTACTGTTTAATTATGATGCATAAACACATCCAATTGGTGTTGGGATCTTGATGTGCGATTTCAAACATGTAAGCGTGACATACAAAACCAATCCAGACGTGATACGTGATTTTTGCTTAAAAATAGAAACGTAATTCGTTATTTTACCTATACGTCTCATGACCGTCAAAAGCTAGTACACAGGAAAAATATTAACTTTCCAGCTTGGTATAAATGTTTTTAGAGATAAAACTGGTAGATTTATATTTTCGTTTAAGACTTAAATAAAGTAGCTTTTGCATGCATATCTGCTATATATCTTATATATCATGTATAAAGTACTATTGTACAAAATTTACTAGATAACTGTAATATTATAGCCGTTTTGATCACTCAGCGTCTGCTAATGGACAATGAGGATATGATGGGCAGTATCCGACTATATCTTTACATCTATCCCCCCCTACCCGAATCCTAATTCCCGTCGATCTACCTATGGTATCATTCGGTAATTTGTTGTCGGCATAATTTCTCTATGCCACTGAACGTTTGATTAAGCAACTTTACTTTAATTTTTTGTCATTTACCCGTTCTTTAACTTTGTTTCTTCGGTATTGAATGGTGTCTTCATTCCTACCACTTCTTTTTCAGAAATCCGCGTTTATAGATTTTCTTCATCGGAAAAGCTTTGAATGAAGTAGTGACATGTTAGGGGGCGATCAATTGATATTTTTATCCTTCCATTAAAAATTGATGGCAACAAATCTTATTAAAAATACATGTATATTAATCCTAATACAAATCAACAATTGATAAAATATTCCGCGACGGAAATCCATCTGCTATTATTTCTTGTTTACATCTTTTTTCAGAATCGTGGGAATAGATATATATCTTATACCCATATCACAATAATCATGATAATAGGAAAATTAAAAGGACTAAAACAATAACTGACATAATCGGGATAGAAACTTTCACGATGAACTTTCTGTTTTATATGCCTAATTTATTTATAATGCTGAAATTATATTTGCCACAGAAAAGAGTTTATGTGTGATAATGACACGTAAATTATCAAAATAGCAAAATAGAAACTAAGATACAAAAGTAACGATTGCAAATTGGTAATTAGAATTATTGGGTTTTTTTTTGCTGATATCATAAAGCGTGTATACTTTCAACTGCAAGGTTGTAGGATTTTAAAGAAGTTGTTCTAATATAATCAAAGAGCAACTTTTTTATTTCCATAGAATTAACTTTTCAGGTTTACAGATGCAAGATGTATTAGAAACACCAAAAAGAAGTAGCATGCAAATTGGACATGACAAAAGGTCCTTTCAATTAAGTACGACTTCATCCAATGAGAATAAATGTACAAGCAAATTAAAACAAGAAAAGACAGATTATCCGATAGATGATTTTCATTCTGAGACCATGCCTACTATTAACAGGAGTGATGATTGTTATAAGACTAATTATGCTCGTCTCGGTCACGCTGTACATCATCTTTTACCTACATTCTTGCAAGAGGTTCTGTTACATTTTGAAAAAACCCATACAATTTATAGGAATTGCAATAGAAACAAATCTTTAAGTCACCGACTCAAACCTGGAGAATGGGCAAGACTTAGAAAGGTTGAACAAAATGGATACGATGACTTTGATATTCCTCTTATATATACTATTCTACGAAATCTGCATGAGACTGCTGCTCGACCAACCAAGGGATGGGAACATCCAAACGAGCCATTGATTAATGAAATCGAAATTGGTGATGATATTGAGAGATGTCGTAGAAATAGAGATGAAATTATACACAGAGGAAACACCAAAGTAACCGATCGGGAATTAAACCAATATTTCGATGTCTTCAAGACCATTGCAGAAAGATTTGAGAAAGTGTGTAATAAACGTAACAATGAATTTGTTTCCACAGTTGAACATTTACAAGCATGCTGTATGGATGAGGCCACTGAACAAAAATACTTCGAGGAACTTCAGGATTTGCATCAAAGAGACAAAGAAAATGAAGAAAGAATATCACAACTCGAAGATCAACTAATTGGTAAGCATCTATATAAGTTACTCAAGAAAAATATATTATATTAATTTTATTTACGACCGATGCAAATTATGTTTTTCTGAATTTGAATACTGGTTGGTATATTTTAATTTGGTTAATTACCAAAGGCCTTTCCTGTTCCATTTTACATGAGCATTTTTTATATAACAAAACAATATGCGAAAAACAAATATGACAGACATGAACTAACGACAACAACTGAAATACAGGCTCCTGACTTGGGACAGCCACATGAAGAAATCATTCACTCTATTTATAATAACCCATTGTAGATTCAGTTATTGATTATTGTAAACGGTGTTGAAAATATCTTAGAACACCATACATTAAAAATGGACATGGTCGATGACTCAGTTTCTGGAAATATAAAAAATAGGAAATGTTGTATGGTTACTACTATCCACCATGTACTTATAATGCAACTACATATTAAGTCGCTGTACTGCAGTAAACAATTAGCAATATCATGCCGTATAAAACGTTATTACGGTATGTAAAACAACGTGAACGAGAAAACCAACGGCATTATTTAAGCTATAAGATTTAAACACTATATGCAACCATAGTAGATAAGATAACAACTTACGACAAGGTGCAATTACATTCACTTGATTCTTGAAAGGCAAGGCACATGCAAATATAGAAGGATTAAAGTATATTTAGACAGCGGTGAAACAGCAGAATCAAACTCTGAAAATCAGTTTCAATAGACTTGGTTGACTATTCCGATCGACACATCAAAAAGAAAAATCTACCAAAACGAAATTACTTTAATAATAACTGCTGTCAATGTTACTGACAGTAAGTAACTGGATTTTTGCTAATATGCTTTGTCTATATGCCTTTATGTGTTTCTTTGTTACATGTACATACGACGTGGCTCTGTACTTATACATCCCATCATTGTGTTATTGTGCCATGGTAAATGTTAAAAAAACAACTTTGTTTACATATTTGTTTGTTTTTATAGTGATTATGTTGATAACACAATGTTGACTGCTGTACCCCTATTGATGACATTTTACCTACTATGTCTGTTTGTTTTGTTCACACATCGTTGTCAATATAATGGAATTGTATGCGACTGTCATACAAGTGAGAGGTTTAGCTAGCTATAAAACCAGGTTTAATCCACCATTTTCGACATAAGAAAATCCCTGTCCCAAGTCAGGAATATGACAGTTGTTGTCCATTCGTTTGTGTGATTGAGCTTTTGATTTTGCCATTTGATTAGGGACTTTTCGTTTTGAATTTACCTCGGACTTCAGTATTTTTGTGATTTTACTTTTTAGTGCAACGTCTTTGTTGATAGATATAATAAGTTTTTGAACAGGAATGTATACAATTCAAATGGTAGGTTTGGTGCTGTAGTTTAGTTTGATCAGCCACATTAATTAAAATTGACTCTTTCTAATCAAGATGAGGAGTAGTTTTATTCTAAAAAGATCCCCTACAATGCATGAACATATGGGTATCGAATATAGATAAAAGGAGATATAGGGTATATGTCTTTGAAACGGTAAAATCATTAAAAACGAAACAAATAATAAAATTCAAAGTTCAACTTATCAGTACGAAAGTTTTGCCCAACTGAAGAAGTATTGTCCAGACGAGGTTAAAAGATCCATGTCTGGACATCAAATCTAGCACGGGAAAACGATCCCCGTAAAAACTGAACGGGCAAACCTAGTTATTCATAAAAATTAAAAATAGAAACAGGGGATTTACGCCGACCCATAAACGTTACAATACATGATCAGTTAAACTGATCTTTATTATATTCCCCCTGCTTATCACATATATTTATGTTTTATAAATCTCAGATAAAACCAAAAGTCTTAAAAAAAGAGTTTTTTACAAATCTAATTTAAGGAATTTTTCGAAAGTTTTTGTCACCCGAATTCTTTTGCCACTAGCTTATTTATTAAATGTCATTGTTGGTCCAGTTTTTAGATTCATTTTAACAGTCTGTAGATGTATTAAAGGACATATTGTATTTCATTTGATGATGACGTTTTACTGAGAGTCTTTTACAAGATGTCCATGTGTAAGTATGTTTGCAATGTTCATATATGTGCAGTTACAGATTCCTTATAATTTTTTTTATTGTAGGCAAGGACATTCAACTCCCTTGGTTGGTTAATGCTGGAGATTTCCAGAGTATGCTGTCAAATGGCGAATATCTGACATACGAGAACCGTCTGAGTCTGGGTAGTAGAAATGTAGTATTCTCGAAAACAAAACAAAAAGCATTAAAACATCAATCACATTAATTGACATACTTAATATTGGCATCAATTTTCATTGAATATAATAAATAACCCATTCCATTTTATTTCGAGAAAACTTTTACAACTTTTATAAAAAAAAAAAAATCAGTTTGAGAATGTTTAAATATTAAAGAAATATTTAAAAATCGCAAATCAAAGTTTTACAGAAAAATCATGAACTGAATTAAACCCAAAACAAATAACTGTCACACTTTTGATGAACGAATAATTATGGAACACTTTATGTTAAAGTTCAATTGAAGAATTTGAACAGGTAGGTGCAGAAATATGATAAGATCTAGCTATCGCTTGAAAGCATAAAAGGATTTCGACATGTCATAATTGCACTGAATCTCTATATTTTAGTATCAAATAAATATTTCATACAATTAACCATAAGCAATAAAAGATAAATAATTGATATGAGGATAATAACGCAATTTCATGGATAAAATGACATACTGAAGTGAAAACATCACAATGTTATGTGCTTACTTTCTTGTTTTGTTCCTTTCGTGTGATTGTGTCTTTTTGGCATATTTCACAGTCGTTACAAACAAATAAAGTCTTACCGTCTTTGATCTCTTATTTGTGCTGTTGTGGATAACAATGGAATCAAAAACATCTGATATGAGCGTAAGATACATTAACAAATCGAGTTTCATGTAAAATATTATACCGATTTTCTCCCGTATTGCACATGTTTCAAAAAATGACATTTACAAGGAATCATCGAATAAAGTGGAAACATACTGTTTGAATTACTACATGTATTAGATCATCAACATCGTTGTTGTTTTACTAGACGAAATTGATGGTATTATTCACCTTAGTGCTTTTGTAATTACTCGAACGTTGGTACAATATTTTGGTGTCGAACGTTTATTTGTAAACTAGAAGGTAGATAATAATATTGATCGTTATTAGGTGGCCCTTGTCAAGCAGGGAAAAGTACTCTGGCAAGCTTGCTTATAGGCAACGAAATTCCGCTAAATTGGAACTCTACAGACGGAGTGGTCATATATTTTGGCAGAAATGGTATTGATATTAAAAAGAAGAAAATGGTACCGCTTAGAGAGGGTATGTCTGACCTATGGTTGTTCTAATCATATCGTCTTTCTCTTTTGTAATTGCAAAAACTCTCAGTTTTCCATTAACATTAACTTAATTATTCAAAGCTGATGTTTTATATCATGGAAGATATCACTTGACCAAAGATATCAAACCATTGGAGTAGAAAACAGATAGTATCAATAGTGAAATCTTTAAGACTTTGTATATCTACAGTTTATCGTTTTTTAAATCAATATCAGGTAGATGTCGAAATTTGAAGGTGACAATCATTTCAAGATGAATACCGCTGGACTTCAAACTTAATAATCTTACGGTGGATGGGGTTCGGGTCTAAATCAAAATCCATAGATTTTTTTAATTATTTTTCAAAATGTTGTTTTTATCATGCTTATTTCCAAAAGATAATAAAAAGTGTGGGTCACCGGACTTTTTTTCACGCTACAGGTTGTGCAAAATTGTCAGATTTATATAGATTATGCATGGAATATCCAATTTTGTGTGATAAAAAGAAAACTACACCATAGAATGTTTAGATAAAATGTGAGCAGATAGCTCTTATAACATGATTTCAGATAAGAAAAAAAAATGGGGTCACCGGACTTGTTTTCTTGCTACATATAAAGATAGAAAAATTCACAACACTTTTTATCAGACAAATTACTTATCTGAGTTATATCCCTTACTATCTGAGTTATCTCCCCTTATGTGGCAAAGTTGAAAAAAATTTACCCAACAAAAATATTGTGTTTTTTAGTATAACATACAGCCGTAAATTTGATAAAACACATAATTTTCTATATTAACATGAAAAGTCTTACACATGAATTAGATACTACTCTCAAAATTTGCCCATTTCATTAAAGATCTAGACCATTTGCTATCTGCTTCTTCAAAATCCAAGATGGAGGAAGACACCCCATCAACTTTAAGTTAGAAAGATATTTTTTAAAACATATGAGAAAGAAAGAAAGGCTGGTCTATGTCACCTGTGGTTACGCGGTTAAAGCAAAAGAGGCAGAAATCATAACCTAGTCAGTTTGATATCTCAAATTTCATCAATCTGTTCTGGTAAATGTTTCAACTCAAGAAAACCATATACTTGAATTATTACAATGTATTGTATTTTATAAGGCCAACGAGGACATGAGGTTTTTGCAAAAATTATTCGAGGAAAGCCAGGCGTTTGCAAAGGGTCTCAAATGGAAGCTAGACAGCAAACAAAATCAAGTCCTGGTAGCAGCAGTCAAGCAGTTGAAACAGATGTTATAACGTCTCAATCGACAAACACAGACATGCAAGAAGGACAAATGGCTACTACAAATTCAACAGACCACACTGTCTTTCAACATTTTTTATCACAGACAGAATCTGTACTGAAAGATAAAAGTATACATATGTCACACAAATGTATATCTTTGGCAACTAATGAGATACAAACATTAGAATGTGAGAGGCTGCAAATTCAATCCGACATTTTAAAAGAAGTCAGAAATGGGCAATACAGAATTGAAATAGCACCTTCAGATCTGATCGATTTTGGTGGGCAGAAATCATATGATATGACTCATCAGCTTTTCATACAACACAGTGGAACATTTTTATTGATGTTCGATGGTCGATTTGGTTTACATACTCAGCTTGGAGAATATCCCGAGGGGGTTGTTGCTGCATGTAAGTTTAAAAACATGAGTAAATACAAGATACATTCTACGTTCATGGAAATGATCATTTTTTTTCAAGTATTAAAATGCGAAGTATGTTGACTCATATTCAGAAATATGCTGCAATCCATTATATATATATAGTTTACAATACATATACACATGTGTATATATAACTCAAGCGATATAAGTATAGTAAACATACAGTTTTGCTGGTATTCTGTTTCCGAAGTAAAGCTATTGTTCACGTCAGTACATTTTGGTGTTCTCTTTGCAGTTCGCGTCTAAGAAATGTCGATTTACTTAACTTCTTAATCAGAATATTTAGATTTTGCAGGATAAAAAACAATGTGCAGAAAATATGAAAATACATTTGTATTCGCTACAAAATAGTGAAAATGACCTGCTTTTTCAGTTTCTAACGAGAGTCCAAATGAATCTATTCATCGATAATGTTCGGAATTGTTTGTGTTTTTCATTAAGGATTACAGAATGTTATTGTTTCGATTCAGAAGAGCTTTCGGATTAAGAATATTATTGCATTTCTACTAGATATTAAACAATACTACTGGATGATTACCTTGAAATCAATTACTGAGCTTTTATTGCTTACATGGCAATATAATTTCAAAGAACTTTTAAAGGAAATGGAAAATTGGTATCTGCAAAAAACATTTCTAACTTAAATGTTGCAAAATACTGAACATAATTTGCCTAAAACCATAACTGGTCCGGGTACACAGTTTTCGTCCTTTGATTTTCGTTGTCCACGAATATAGTCCCTAGTGTGGACAGTGTGTTACTTGTCGATTTTTTTTATACCCCTTCCGAATTTATTTCTCCATGTTTTATGACTCAAATAGTAAGTAGGGGGGGGGGGGGGTGGGGGGTGAAATGACACTGTAAAAAAATTTGGGTCATGAATTTTAAAGTAAAGTAGTGATTTGGTCCAGCTGAAAAATGTTAAAAATTAGCACTTCGGAAGCTGTCAAAAGATTTGAAGACCCCCTTAGCATGAAATAGTCCATATTTTGAGTTAGAGCCGATGAAGTTTTCTATAATTTTGATATAATTTGTCCCAAAAGTAGTACAACACACTGTAAAAATATTATTGAGAAAGCGCAGGTGGGATTTTTTTAATTTTCATTTATTGTCTAAAAGAAATGCACTACGAAATAACTATGTACTCGGACCTAAGAGGTGAAATCAGGAAATATAGAATCTGTACTTTGGCAACTTCCCTGAATGATTTGGTGGTTTCAATTTATCAAATAGCATAAAACTAAAGGATTTAAACTTTTATTTGATAGAATTTCTGCAAAAATGACCAATTTTGGCATTTTATCGTCAAAATAAGCATTTCATAGCTTTTTCAATTTTGATGCATAAGTGGCATTCTGACTTTCTATCTGACAGGTTTTTATGTGTCAATATTTGTGTTTCTATGCTTCAATCCAGTTGTATTACTCATTTGTGAACTTTGAATCTACAGAAAAGAAGATTATCTCAGACAATATGTGCAAAATGTGTTGTATATATATGATCCTCGTCTAACGGCCTGTTTGGATCAAGTTAAATGTGAGGAGCTTGGAACATAAAAGTTGAAGTCCATTATAAAGACCTCACTAAATTTGTATAAAAAGCACTTAACAATGTCTTTTGTACCTGTTTTATGTCACATAATATCTTTCTTTTCTTCTGTAGGATAGCAAGTGGTTCAAATATAAGCCTGTTGAGACTAAAATTGCATGCATGTTTTTCACTAAAAAGTGAAAAATCTTTGTATCAGACCATACTGTCTGCAAAAAAAGTTGAATGCAAAAGTCTTTTTGTGCTCAGATTTATTGTATCATGTCACCTGAGTATAGAAATGATAGAAAAGACACAAAATTTTATTTCATATAGCTTCAATATGCATTTTTAAATGTAAATATGTGATACGGCCTAAATTGACCCTAAATTATTTTCAGTCTTACTTGGCCTAAGACCCTTTTAAACTAATGTGATATGTTATTTGTAAGTTTTCTTTCCATTTAAAGTACATTAAATACATATGTAAGGATTATTTATAACCAAAAAGCTTTACAAATTTAAAATTGCTGGAAAATATTACATCTTCATGTAAGGCCCCCCTTCATTGGAAAACCTCCATTTTTAGCCACAGGCTCATATAAATTTGACTTTTTAATAATTATGATAAGTCTGATAAATCAAATGAGTACTCTATTGCTTTTATTACATAATATATTATATATTAAGGCATTTCAAAAGTATTTTTTTGCAATATTTTAATTTCTTAAGCCCCAAATGTTGATAGTTGAAAATTTTCAATTTTAACGTCTAAATTTAACACTCAAAGTTGAATATAGAATTAGTCATATTGTCTATAATATATATCCTATTGCCATGAAACTTTGTAAGCAGTTTTATAATTTAATAAGCTTTGGTCACACCAAGTTTCATAAAGATTGGTCAACTTTTTCTACCCTATTAGGTCCGGGTACACAGTTATCGTCCTTTGATTTTCGTTGTCCACGAATATAGTCCCTAGTGTGGACAGTGTGTTACTTGTCGATTTTTTTTATACCCCTTCCGAATTTATTTCTCCATGTTTTATGACTCAAATAGTAAGTAGGGGGGGGGGGGGTGAAATGACACTGTAAAACAATTTGGGTCATGAATTTTAAAGTAAAGTAGTGATTTGGTCCAGCTGAAAAATGTTAAAAATTAGCACTTCGGAAGCTGTCAAAAGATTTGAAGACCCCCTTAGCATGAAATTGTCCATATTTTGAGTTAGAGCCGATGAAGTTTTCTATAATTTTGATATAATTTGTCCCAAAAGTAGTACAACACACTGTAAAAATATTATTGAGAAAGCGCAGATGGGATTTTTTTAATTTTCATTTATTGTCTAAAAGAAATGCACTACGAAATAACTGTGTACTCGGACCAACTGCAAATTGTTTAATATGAAAAAGCTTAATTGTATCAAACTTGTAACGTACTGTGTAATGAAATGTGTAATAATGCAGCGTCTGCTTTAACTGGGACTTGATAAACATAAGAAAATATAAAAACCGAAAAATTTTGTCTGTTAAATGCAACGGTGGCTTTTAAATTTTGGACGGAGGAATACGTACGGTTGATACATTCAACAATACCTACCGTTATCTGAATGATATTTTTTCGTTTAATAATCCAGAGTTCTCTAAATATACTACCGAAATTTACTTTAACTAAATCTAACATAAACAGCAGCATATGTCCTTTTCTAGATTTAGACATTTCAATTTCTAAAGGGAAACTCCATACTAAAATTTACGACAGAAGAGACGATTTTTCATTCCCTATTGTTAATTTTCCTTTTTTAGACGGCGATGTGCCTTTGGCTCCATCATACGGTGTTTATATATCCCAACTCGTTCGGTATGCCCGTGTGTGTAGTGATGTCATAGATTTTAACGAACGTAATCAATGCATCACTGGTAAATTATTAAGTCAGGGATTTCGTTACCATAAATTACTTAAAACTTTTACTAAATTCTTTCATAGATACAAAGATTTGATTAGTAAATTTTGCTGTACCCGTAGAAAACTTTTTAAAAATGGTATTTCACATCCTAAATTTTACGGTAATATTGTACCTAAGGCGCGGAAATCACTATGTGATCCGTGTAAACTCATCGAACCTTTAAACAAACTTATTAGTAAGGGTTATCGTACCAATGTTGTAATTAGATCTCTGAATATAGTTTACATTGGCACTAATATCGTTTTTGTCATTAGCAAATTAAAACATAACTAAATTTGTATTTTCTTTTCAAACGGGATGTATAGAGAGACACACACATTCATTTTTATCTATAAAGAAGTCACTCCTAACTATCCTACTACCTGTCGATACATTTATTTTTGGCATTGCACAAGTCATGTCTTCTTTGACTGTTCATGACGTTAAAATACTAAATCCCTGGGATGTGTTTTAGTTGATTTCAGTCTCTGATGCATGTTGTTTTATTATTAATTGTTTTGGCTTTTAACTAGCTGTCAGTAACTGCGAGTACTCTCAAATCGTACTTTCTTTTTAATTTGACCTGTTGATACTATTTGTAATGCTTTTTTTGTTATTTAATGTTAACATGGATCTTGTCTATATACCAGCTTTGGTTATTTGGTATTACTACAAATTTTCACTTCTTCGTACTATGAACATCAAAATTATTTCATTTCTCCTTAAATTCTTGCACCTGTACAGGAAGTTTTATCTAGCACTTATTGTATAGTTTTATTGCTGATATTCACCCCATATGTACCAAGTGTTAAATTAGTTTTATTGATATTAAAGAAATTTCTTGGTATTCCTAAACGGAAGATTTTATACACACAGAAGAAGTATACGTAACAACAAAATTATTTTCATTTACCTGTGTATAATATGACGCAGGTTTTTTCAAAAGTGATGATTTTCTAAATATTGTTTAACATTTCACAGTGGTATCATACTTTAAGTCAGTTTAAACCTGTTTATTTACTTTTGACCTTAATAATTTATCCCTTATAATTTTTTTAATTTTTATTAACTATGTATTTGCATTCAGGTATCCCAGATTAAATTTATTCGTTCATTGTGTGTTAATTTACGTTTTTTGATTGAGTTAAGCCTTCCAATTGATATTTTATAGTGTGTCTTTCTATGTTGTGATGTTATACTATTGTTTCAGAAAGGGGGGAAAGGTTTGGTACCATTGAAACGTTTAATCCCGCTGCAAATGTTTGCACATGTTCTAAGTCAGGAATCTGATGTACAGTAGTTGTAGTCTGTTTATGTAGTTCATACGTGTTTCTCGTTTCTCGTTTTTATATAGATTAGACCGTTGGTTTTCCCGTTTGAATGGTTTTACAATAGTAATTTTTTGGGGCCCTTTATAGCTTGCTGTTCGGTGTGAGCCAATGCTCCGTGTTAAAGGCCGTACCTTGACCTATAATGGTTTACTTTTATAAATTGTTACTTGGATGGAGAGTTGTCTCATTGGCACTCATACCACATCTTCCTATATCTATTTGGGTCGACTTTAGTAACTGAATGTTTGGTTGATAAGATGTCAATTATATTTGGTTGCTACATACGTAACAATATTATACAGTACGACTCGTTTTTGAATTACATTTCTTTTTCTCCTGTTTTCATCGTATCAATAATAATAAAGAGCGCTAATACCTATTTTTAACACGTCATAATTTATAAAATGAATGCGCATGTCCTAAACGGGTGGCATAGATTTATTACATTAATAAGTTTATGTTTACAAGGTTTGTTGCCATGGCGGATATTTGCTAGTGTCGGCAATTTCATGTAATAATCGTCTCGACTTGGGGCCATTTATAGCTTGAAAAGCAAGACACCTCTTTCGTTCAAATACCTAATGCTGATCATGATCTCCAAGTGTTTATGAGATGTCATTGTTTAGTCTTTGAATTCAAGATTGCATCTCATTTCATGTATGCGAAAATATTGTTTTGCTAAAGAAAAAAACTATAGTTGATTCAATCCTATCAACGATATTTTCATCTGAAACGTAACTACCTGTCCCTGTTTCCTTTAAGACACGACAGTTATTTATTTTAAATGCACTCATTTTATTAATCAAATGTATTTTCTCGGAAAAGAAGAAAACGATTTTTTTATTGTACTGTTAATTTTATTGTTAATTCAAGACATTGTGACTTGTAACATACATATTCAACTCGACAATAATAGGACCATTGGTATTCTTGTTTACGTCTTTAATTGGTTTCTTTTTTCAGCCGTGCTTAAACACTGGGTTGATTCAATTTTGACATATACTGAAGACACCGAAGACTGTATGCCAATGATTATGTTTGCTGCAACACACAGGGACCTGTGCAAGGTAAATAAACATCATACACAGTATGATGGGAAGCGACACCTGCAACTCATATATTCAAATATATATATGTCTATATATATACGAAGAACGTCTGCTCAAACATATCCGAACTAGAAAGACCTATTTAATAAGTAGACTTAAACTAACGTCTCCCCTTCACCAGTAGAAATTGGGTATAAAACCTATGGTGAAGTAGAAAGGTCTTACAATGTATCAATGCCAGTAAGATATATTGGTAAGATGTGGAAATCTGATCACTTTTAGAGATAAAAAAGTGAATTACATGAGGGGCCGAGCATCATTCCTAATGGGCAAACTCTTCGTTGCACCGAAAAGCTCTTGCAACAATTACAATATAGTAGTGGGTATTTTCACCATTTTTTAAAAATAAATAGCAATTTGAGTATATGTAGGGGCGGGAATGACCACAGGGACAATCCCTTCATTAAAATAAAATGGTATTGTCTTGGCAAGCAGATCATATGTATATATGGTTTTGGAGTAGCCACACAAAAAACAAATATTTGACCATGACCCTTTATTGACGTTGAATGTCAACATAAGATCATCGTCCATAACAGAAAACATTTTTTTAACTTCTAGGATGATACCGTAAAGATGAAAGAAAACTTCACCAGAGATGTTTCACAGATGTTTTCCACACATGAGAACAGAAATCACATATTTCTGGATACGGTTTATTTCATAACAGGAATAGATGAAGGTGACACCGAAATTCAAAGCATGAAAGAACAAGTCGTCATTTTTGCAATGAAACAATCGTCTTGGGGGCAGCGTCGACCAATGCAATGGGTTCCTTTAGAGTTACAATTATCCAACATGAGAATGAAAAATATAAACATCGTAACAAGGGAAGACCTACGAAATGTAAACATGCTTAATGACGACCTGGCTTTAAATGAATCTCAGTTAGAAGACTTTCTTTTAGTGCAGCACTCCCTTGGTAAATTGATGTACTACAACCTCCCTGGATTAGACAAGCACATCATCATTCATCCTCCGGCATTGGTAAACATATTGAGGTCATTCGTAACAGATGAAAGGTTCTTTCCAGCAGACCAATGTCTGACATCAATTCTGCAAACAATGACGATGACAGGAAAAATCTACAAAAAAGGCCTTCTTAAGCTTTGGCAACAAGAAACAGTTCATCGATATATGCCTGGTGATACCATTAAAGAATTTGTTATACAGCTCCTAATACATTTGGATATTCTGATAATCCCAAAAGATGCTAAACTAAATTCTTCTAACCCTCACGTGTACATTGTACCATGCACAATCAAGGCAATTAGACCATCAAATTTTAATTTGGTTGGCAGCTTGGAAGAAAGAACGATCTGTTTAAGATATACCTTAGCCCGTCATTCTATTCCCACTGCACTGGCTTACAAAATAATCGGCACAGCAATTAACGCTTGGCCGTTAAAATACGAATTTCAAAAACCATGTCTGTATCACAAAGCTTCAGTGTTGAACGTGAGTGAGGACAATGAACTCCGAATATGGATAGAAGACAATCGAGTTATGGTATATATGGTCAACCAGAACTCATTACTTTCTATATCACCAGATATTGCTGCCAGCGTACAAGAATGTCTAACAAGGAACATTGAGTCGTCCCTCTTATTCCATTGTCAAAGTTTTGGTAGGAAAATAACACCAACAAAGGTAGTAGACATATACACCATGGAAGTAGGCATTCCATGCGGAAGTGATATTTGCTTCATACCTTCCGAAGATGCCCTGAAAATTGACAGCTGGAAATGTGGAAAGGGGAGAAAACATGACACAAGATATCTTCGATACTGGGTTTTTGACAAAGTAAGCATTTTTTTTAAAATAGAAACATATCATTCCACATAAAGGTGAATTCAAGATCCTTTAAGTTGACTCGACTTTGTGTTCCTAGATTAAGTGGTTTTACTAGATAACTGCGGTGACTAACATGTGAATTGAAATGCATAAACAATCATCAGACGATTAGTTTAAATACTGACTTCGAATATACACTGCCAATATTAGCAAGTATTGAATAAAGTTGTGCGGCACCCAAGATGGGCCTTCTGAAAATCTCTAAATGTCGAAGTTCTTTTTTTCTCTACTATGGGATTTCACTTGGGAAAATATTTTCTTGATATTCAATACACGAACAATTATGGAGAAATAATAGGACAATTAAAGGTGTTTTGAGTTGATATTGCTGGATGTATATTCCTCAAAAGAAAAGTACGAAACTTTACTATAAAAGAAAAATCCGTAGAATATGATTTTTACTTCAACATGTAGACTTTATGATCAATTAAGTAAATGAAATACATTTCGAATCACATAACAAAACAATTTTCAGTAGATAAATACCATTCCATTGTAATTGTTGACTTCTTGGCCATATTTCAGACCCAAAAGATGTGTGTGCATGGATGTGAAGGTAAATATAGCAACAATTATACCATGAATAATATTAATATTAAAGTCCCACAACAAAATGTAACACCAAATCATAGATGATGATCGAAATACTATACCATATGCATTGATGAGTTTCATTAAGGATACAGGCAAATTTTGCTTATGTGAATTTCCCGTGAAATTAACCTCGAACGAGCTTATACGTGAAACTAACATGAACATGTTCATGTTCTAGTACATGAGCACTTTATAAGGAAAATTGTTGGGAAACTCGGGCTAAACAATGGGAGAGATGACAAGACTGAATTTTATGAAATACTACTTAATAAGATTTAAGAATTTCAGCAATTTATTTGAACAGAAACAATTAAAAGTGTACCTATATATCAAGTGTTTTCTCTTTTTTAATTTATGAATCCGATATCGTGATAGTCTTAAATGACTGTCTATTAACCACTTATTATTGGAAAATTAAGCATTCCGCTACTTACTAAACCCACATATAACAACATTTTTAAAACTTGCATTATTTTAACTGTACTTCATTATACCTCTCTATTTCTCTTTCTGTCAATGTACTTATGTTCTTTATTTATATATTAAAATCGTAACTAGGAAGATATTAGACTATCTTACTATTATACTTCAAAATGATCTGCAGTCACTAAACATTCTAGTAACAATCAGAACAAATGTTATATTTTACCACTTACAATACAAATATATCCTTAATATAGTATTTTTAAATGTTAGTGCTCTTAACATCATCTTTATTGTAATATTGTTTTCCACGCTGGTGTATGATACTGGTGTATGACATTGTAATGACATATAAACATGTACTTTTTAAGGACTGACAAACAATGAATTGGAGATAGAACCAAGTGATAAGCACCTTGTTAGATTAGGAGGTCAAATTGGAATAAAGTTATTTGAAGAATTTTTCATTAATTTGGGAATGAATAAGAAAGAATGGGAGAGCACTGAGTACACGTATGCTAGTCACAATTCTGATGGCATTATGTCGATGGCACTGAAACAATGGAGGAAGACTAAGTTGTCAAAACTTGAAAAACCTACCTTGAACGATCTCACTGATGCCTTGAATGCAGTCAATCTGGATAGTCATCTTATATGTCAGGTATTGAACGTGTACGATTTAAACGTTTAAATGTCCTCCTATCTGAAAAATATGAAAGACAGAATTTTATTTGAAATAATGCTTAAATATTAAAACGTATTGCAATGTTATATCAACAATACAAATATTTGGCCATTGTCACTCTTAACCAAGATCTTTCTTTCAATTTGATTTGAATTATTAAATGTAATTTCTAAATGTAAATTTTTTCGATGATTATCATGATTTTTCATATCCCAGTTTATTGTACGTTGTAAGTCGAAAACAAATCTTCTTCGTTGAGAACCAAAGTGATTTCTATTTATATCTAAAAACAGTCCCTTTCCTGAATTTAGCTTTATATCACGTACTTCAATTTACTTTCTGTTATTCCAATACTATAGATTACAATGGGAAATGAAAAGATCTGCAGATCACTGAAAGTTAGTTATTAAACTCACATATTCGTGTGCCTGTCCAAAAGTCAGGAACGTTGTCAGTTGTTGCTAATACTTGTTAAGTAATGTTCATTTGTCCTTCAGGGAAATTGGATTTGATCTTTGATGTTTGCACGTTTCTGGAAACGGTCAAATCTAGAAGTTGGCGAATTTGTAAACAACACATTTTCTCTTGTAATCTTTCGGTTTTTCTTCTGTTATATTTCACATTAAAAAAAACGATGTGGTATGATTGCCAATAAGACAACTCTCCACAAGAGACCAAATGACATGTCCTTTTATTCTCAACCATTTCATTTTTGAAACATTTTTTTTAGGTTTTCAGAGAAAACACGACCTTGTTCGGTAAGTATTACATTTTTGGGGAAATTATATATTTTAGATTTCAATAACGATTTTTCATGTGAGATTAAAGTGATATAGGTAAACAAAGATAACTCATTGATATTTAAAATTTTACTACAATATTATCTTGTAATCAAATGTTTATGCCCCAAACCTTTCTTTTTATTCTCTTAATTTTAGATTATGTATCATCATTTTCGTTTATAACATTCTTATATTTTAACAATTTTACCAAGAAAGGATTTTATAGCATGGCGTCATTGAACTCAATGTTGTCGCATTTGCGACGAATTGTTTTTAAAACTCATTTTGTCCCGTCAACAATGCATATAAAGACATAATGTAATTACCCGAATTCATTTTTCTTTAAAAAAAAAATAGGTGACCTGTAGGCAAAGTACTTTAAATACACGGGACCTTTTTATTAGTTTACACTGTTCCTATGTTTTTTTGTTTTTGTTTATATTTATATATATATTTATTCATTTGTGATCATTTGTTTCCTTGCTTGATTTCTTCGATTTCTTCAATAACACTGGATCATGCTTTTAAATTACTATTTTGTAATAAAAGAGGACTTAGTCCACTTTGGAGACCAGGGACAATCAGATAACACACACAGTACATTTAATAAAAGTCAAATTCGATTTCATACTTTTATCTTATTGGGTAAAACTCTCAACAGAACCGATAATCCACTAATCGTTCCCAGTATTCATAATATCAAACAGAGCTTAAACACCATTCTCTTATATATTTTGTCATTTTATCTTTTTATTATTGTTTTATAATTTCATAACTTCAACTCACTTTTGCAATTTGTGAACATTTCAAAATAATTATTGACCTTTCGTCAGTCAACACTAAACGGTTTCGTGAACGCTACAGATACCTTACACCTATAGTCATTAAATTATTTCATTTGAACATATTTACCGCCGCTGAAGTCCCCACAATCCTATTCAGCTCTTGTTAAGGATGTTCGCTCCTCTTGTTTTTGAATTTTTGCCAGATATTTGGAATCCTCTGGTTTTATCCATGTTGTGCCATTAAATATTTTGCCCGCTAACCCCTACTTTTGTATCCATTATTTGATTACATATAGTTTGAAATGCCATCTTTGAAAATCTTATAAAATCCTTGTTATTTTTTCATAGTTTTTGAAAGAAAAACGGTGCCCATGTTAAATGTATGAAAAATCTAGAGAGAATCATTTCCCGCCAAATTTTCGATGGCTTATATATAGAAGACAAGCACACAGACTCTTAATTTTTTTCTGATTTTTAATTTTCTTTATTTATATACTATCAATTTATAACAGTCTTTTAAAAAGCTTGTTATTTTGAAACAGAGTAGCGAACATCCTTAACTTATTTTATGTGCTTTAAATGTCTCCTAGTGACATAGAAATATCCAAATTCAGATTTAAAACATTTCTGTAAAATCAGTGTTTCTTTCTAGTTTGGGTATGTTTTCTATAGAACTGTCTTAAATTATTTTCATTACATACATAACTCCATATTGACAAACCCAACGAGTTGACTTGTGAGATATGGAAATAACGTTGTTCCTAGACTTCTACCATCCGTCAGTAAAATCCTTTGCTAAAGTTAGATGTCTGTTTTGTTGTTTTTGGTTTTTGTTGTTTTTTTTTTTGTTTTTTTTGGTGTATAAATACGCAGCCACGTAGAGTCAAAATTGTAAAGTTAAATCAGATAACCTTTGTCGGGTGAGTACCACGTTCTCTCTGCATATTACAGAATCCTTTCAAGAACCACAGCGGATATTCGTATTGACTTGTTGCAAGGAACCAGCATACCACTTTGTCTACTGACTTTCCAAATTTTCCGCCCTTCATCCATCACAACCTATCTTGCAGAATCAACCTATTGTATTGGTTGGTCATTTATCTGCATGTGGACGTTTGGCAAGCAAATATCTATCCTTGATAATCTGATATTATCAATCAATCATAGTGTTTATGTGTTGAAGACGCAACCCTTTAATTTTACTCTGCCAAACAACATGGTTGAATAGTTTGCTTTAATCCTATATCACAGTATATCATAAAATTGGAACATGATTAATGTATTTATTTACATAAAATTTTATTTTTATTGCATCAGAAATTGCAGACTTCAATCTCCAAGCCATTCCAACTGACCAACATTTGAAGGAATTGTCAAACCAAATAGGAAACTGTCCATTGCAGTTGGGAATAGAACTTGGATTAAGCTTCACTGAAGTTGAGCAAAGTTTGTTTAGTTTCCCGAAAGATCTGCCTGGTTTGGTGGAAGATATTGTGATAAAATGGAAGAGAAAGTCAAAGGTCAAAACCATCCATAGTTTGATGCTTGCACTTGAACGAGTAAATGCAGGTGGAATCAGATATTTACTTGACTTGTCAAAAAATCTCTCAGATGCTAATATTACATAAAACAATTAAAACTTTTCAATGGGCGTGTACTTGTGTTACTATTTAACACCTTTGAAAATCTGTTTTAGTTTTTAAAGTTTATTTCGGTGTTTAATGTAGTATGCTTAAATTGTGTCTTTGTCTCTAGCAAGTGCTCGCAAAAACTGGTATTATGCGCGATTTGTATAGTAAATTATTACTTATACTTTGTCTGAGAAATAAGCTTTCATGATACAGCTTAATAACACAACAAATAGTACGCTTGTCACGATGTACATTTTTGTTTATCTCTCAAATATTTGCATAATTACAATATATTAGTCTACAATTATAGATCAAAACAAAAAAATTATATATTTGTTTAATTTTCCCATTTCTATATATGAAATTGAACAATTAACAAATTAAAAGACTGACTAAATTTTGGATTACGTTGATTATATTTAGAATATAGCAATCTAAATGATTTTCCTTAAGTTTGTATGTATATTTATAAAATTACAGATGGTGTATAGGTTAAATTTTGAAAATAATAAAAGTTGTAAAACCGGTTATTCCCTACAAACAGAAAACTGTTGTATATACTTTTAGTAGTCGTTTGCTACTTTAATTTCCATTTATATTTTAGATTAAGTTCAATCAATTGTGTATTTTATACCAAAGTTGTAGAACTTGATTTCATTGTATTGAAAGTAAAAAAAATTCACGGTTCCTTTATACAAGGAATTCGAACGTTTCTGGACTTTTAACTTATATTCATTGCCGATGTTTTTTTCATGTATAGATTTTCAAAAGTATATAAATTAATGCAGTTTCTTCGAAAATTTTCAAACTTCCTGTTTTGCTTTTGAACTATTAATGGATATTCTTTGTTTTACCCCCTTATATTTCCTTTCAACTTTCATACTTTCGACAAAAATTAAAAAAAAAAACCAAGACAATAATAGACTGGATATTCATTTAATGAGTAAATGTAAACCATTCCGTTTTAACTGCAAAAAAGTAAACCCAGCATTATTCTTTGCAATTGCTCCTTCATATTTTCAACTTTCCTTCTCTTGCGCCAAAACAAAATTGAGTCCTTTTACGACAATGATACGTTTGCTCGGGCGTATGACATTTGCTCCGATTTAAAAAAAATGATCTTTCATTTGCGCCGATTTGATTCTTTCATTTGCGCCGATTGTGTACATGTAAATTATATATGAATATTATTTTTTATTTATCATTATAAACCTCTTCCGTTAGCCACTAATTGTCAATTATAACATGTATATAACTGTTGTCCCTGCAAACAGATTGTTGTCGTTTTCATCTGGCTCAGAATTGGTGGAAAGAAATCCAGTCTGTTGGGTTAGTCACTGAGTATAAAGACAAATCAAGTGACACTGTTAGATGGCTATCGACAAATGTCATGCATTCTTATAACATGTACGTACTAAGTACATATATATATGCTCAACTCCACGTTATCAAACTCATTTCTGGGCAGCTGCAACCGTTGAAAACTGTAAAAGGACGAATAACGGACCAGAATCGTTTCATTTGCATTACAATGAACAGTTCTATTGGCACCACCCTAACATATATGTCTTTATGGATATCATCAAGAAAATCCAGGCCGTTACTTATGTCAAAATGAGAACTCTTGAAATGCCCGCCTCTGTACGCAAGCCAGAGAAAGAAAAGATGGACTTCAATGTTGGCAAGAACAACAAGTATAAAAGAGATGAAATTACAAGGAAGGAATACATCAGATGTGTAGCATATAAATACTCGGCAAGAACAGATTTATAATTCATTATATTCCCTTTTTATGGATTTTAATGTTGTGCTTTTGAATGCTGTAATTAGATTTTTACTCCGTGGTTTTACTGGATATTAACAGAGTGGTTTTATCTTTTAAATTGACTTGTCCTGCTCGAAATCCTACTTCCACCTCCCCGTGGTGAGCAGGGGATAACAGCTATATACATGTTATAATTGAAAATTCATGACATATGTACAACTGGCTAACGGAGGAGGTTTAAAATGATAAGTAAAAAATAACATTCACCTGTAATTTACCTGTACACGACAGACAAAATCGGCGCAAGTGAAAGAAAAAATCGGCGCAAGTAAAATGCAGATCGGCGCTAATGCAAAACGCCGGTTTGCTCCATTAGATTTTAAATCCTTACAAACATTTGAGGTAAAAATTAAGTAACTGTGTGATTGCGACTACACTTCGACCAAAAATTATTTTTATTTAAACAATATTTCACTCCTTCGCACTTTTTGCGGGCTGAGATTATTAATGTTCCAAAGACTACTATATACATATTAATGTAAGAGTAGTCTCAAATATATCCCATTACAAAAACACCGTAAATTCACCTTTTTCACTTATCCAACTAATAAATATACACCACGTTTCAGAATACTTTTGAAAATTCTATATCTGATTAAAGATGAATGTGACCAGGCTGCATTTGTCGTTCGTTCTTATGGTATTACATTGTACATGTACGATTGAATCTTTATTTCGGATAGTAAGATGTTTGGCAGTTGTCCTAATATCAAGTCATCAAATATCCAGATCGATTGATAACATGTCAGTCAAATACAGGGGAAATAAAAAAAATAATAATAATGCCCTCCATTGGGGTGATTTGCGAATTGTTACTCCATGAGCCTTGGGGCGACCTACGTATGCGCGAATTTGAACTTTGACAGGTATTACGTTTGCGCGAGTTTCCCTGAGTTTTTTAATTTATCTGCGTTTTTATCTTGAGAATAACATGAACTTAGTTAATGATGTATTTGTTTAAAATTTAATATATTGATAGATAATTTATATAATCAAAGAAGTCTTTCTTCGTTTATACATGAGACAACCTCCTTGGTTTATACATGAGACAACCTCCTTGGTTTATACATTGTATAAACATTAAAAAGCACTTCATATATGTCGAATAGCAAAGTTTTGAATAAAATACAGTTTGTCTTTCCTGAAAAGGAACATTCTAAGTATGGAAACCTTATTCTGGAATAAAACACAGTATGTAATCTCGACAGGAGCAATATATAAGTCAGTCCTTGCTGTTAAAAGACCCTGGGCCATTGTGGGTACGTTTCTGGGCTTTCATTTGGAACAGTCGTCCACGTTCTCGCATGGCGGTATTATAGACTTAGAACTTTAATAAGACGTACATCACCTATTCGTGGCCCTGATTCCTATCCACGTTAATTTTTTCACTTTCAAACATTTATGGGTAGGGAGCGGGATCAATATACCGTTATTTACACATCAGACCGAAACATTGGATACACTAAACCAAGTACTTCATATCTGAGAAACAAGCAATATATGCCCTCCATTTTAGAATCTATTCATACAGTTTTGCGTTATTCAAAATTATCAGTCAAAATGTGTTCTACAAGGATCACCAGTCCATCACCTTTTATTTCATACCTAAATTACCAAAATATATTCTACATAGTTTGATATTAACACCCATGTGTAGGAACTATCTTGTTTTAAATATGTACTACTTTCCAGTATGTCCTTTTTGACCGGGCCCGATTTGGTGTTACAAAGTCTATTCGAATTATTTTTGCAAAGAATTCTGCTCAAGCCGCTGCTAGGGGCTTAAACTTGCAGTGAGGTGAGAATTGTTTTGCTCCGTGTTGAAGGCCTCACTGTGACTTTGAGATGAAGAACAGCAATAAAAGCGCTGTTTATTTGCATTATTTTTTGTTTATTGCTGTGCATGTACTAATTATGTGTCATGGATAGATACCCATATCCTTTGTTTTTCTATTACTGGTGACGTAATTGTCAACTATGTAGTTGGCAATTAGTTTGCGACTTTCAATCTCAGTAGCATTTAACATTGCATCATCTACATAACTGCCCTTAACTTTCTCCGCTGAAAAACTTGCAATTACAATTTCTAGCCGTATTTATACCCCGATCCTATTTCAGTTGACGAATTTTCAATCAAGTTTTAATAGAAAATTTAATGAATTCGCGCAAAGGTAGTAACTTTTCAACAGTTTAATTTCGCACAAACGTAGGACAAATTCGCGCAAACGTAACACACCGGCCCCTTGATCAGTGTTCAAGTTACACTTGAATGTTTTATGGATGCACTTAGAATAGTCTGTGATACGGTGCTTTTTGTCCGCAATTTGCTTTTTGTCCGCTTTTGCTTTTTGTCCGATAATTTTGCTTTTTGTCCGACACTTTTGCTTTTTGTCCGTTGCTTTTTGTCCGTTTTGCTTTTTGTCCGATAATTTTGCTTTTTGTCCGACACTTTTGCTTTTTGTCCGTTGCTTTTTGTCCGTTTAGCTTTTTGTCCGATAATTTTGCTTTTTGTCCGACACTTTTGCTTTTTGTCCGTTGCTTTTTGTCCGTTTTGCTTGTTTAGCTCACCTGGCCCAGAGGGCTAAGTGAGCTTTTCTCATCACTTAGCATCCGTCGTCGTCGATGATTTTTACAAAAAAATCTTCTCCTCTGAAACTACTGGCAAAATGTAAGCAAATATGGCCAAAATCATCCTTAGGGTATCTTGTTTCAAAAATGTATCCGATGATCCCCCAATATTCAAGATGGCCGCCATGTCTTAAAATAGAACATTGGGGTAAAATGTAGATTTTGGCTTATATCTCTGAAACTAAAGCATTTAGAGCCAATCTGACAAGGGGTAAAAATGTTCATCAGTTCAAGATCTCTCTGCCCGAAATTTTTCAGACACATCAGACAACAATTTTTGGGTTGCTGCCCCTGAATTGGAAATTTTAAGGAAAATTAGCTTACTCGTTATAACGACTTAGCTTACTTGTTATAACGACTTAGCTAACAACTTAGCTAACTTGTTTTAACGACTTAGCTACATGTAACAATTTAGCTAACTTGTTTTAACTACTTAACTAACTCGTTTAAACAACTTAACTTACTTGTTTACTTAAAAACTACTCATTGTAAATACACAATTTTTTAACAGAGTTATGTTTGATTATAATATTTTTTTTAATTCATTGATATTTTCCACTTGTATAACATATTGATTTGAAAAATTCAACCGTCTGGGTAACCGAGACTAGTTTCAGGTTGGATTTTATTTCTCTTTTCAGGAGTAATAACCCGGGATACAGTCATATTTCTTTGGTTGGTACATGCATACTCTATCGATAAGAAATATACCGAAAACTTCATCACATTTACGGATTAGTATTAAAAGTATCGCATATTTCAGTGAGGAGAAAAAAAATAACAATAACTTCTACTTTTGCCGCCTTACAGACTTGACCAATTTAAAAATAAACACTGTTGGTATATTATTTCAAATGTTTCTATTAAAAAAGTGTTTTATATTTAGAAATGCACTATCTGTATCTAAAATATTGTGCACATCTGTTTCGTTATAAAAATTAAGTAAATGCTAAGTAGCCTTTTAATTACTTTCCTCCTCTTTTCGAGTATGTCTAACAACAATTAACTACTTGGCTGACAATGCTGTTGTGTTAACCAAAGTTTCCTTATTACTTGAATAGCCTCGAACGTC